CAGATTCTGGAGTGCATTTAAGTTCTAAAGAAAATTATAAATGATAAATTATCTTAAATAAATACATTTATATTATTATATCTACATAACCATGTCTATTTTAGTACTTTTTAACTATGTTTGATTGATTGTGTAATTCTTGTTTTTTTAGGTTGTTCAGGGACAATAGATGAAAAATAGCCTTCTGGCTAATTCTGGTGCATTTGCAGAAATGCTAATTAATGTACACTGTCCCTGCCGAATAAACAAATAAATAAATAGAGATGGTAAATAAGTATATAATATCACTCACCTGGGAGATAGAGGCCATGTGAGTGGTTTGTGAGCACAATTAAGTGCACACAGCATGCCATTTCATCTGATAATTGTAAGAAACGATTCCAAAAAGCAACTGACTGTGTAAAGCTACATAAAACAAAACAATAATTTGATGTATATGCCGTGCTCAGCGGCTAATCAGCCGGAATCAGCTGAAGTAAAGTGACAGCGACCAGTGAGACCTAGCTGTCACTCAAAAGGCCACGCCCTTAATTATGCAGACTTAATATAACCTAATATAAGCCCCTTTCACACAGTGATACCGGTAAATATCTGGAAAATTTCCGGAAAGACTTTACCGGTATATTGAAAAAGCGCTGTTCACACAGGCGAGGACGTTACGGAAATTTTCCGGAAAAGAGCATTCACACATCCATTCCAAAATACCGGTAAATTCTGACATCATTCACCACAAATGAGCTTTAAACGGCTGCGCTTGTATTTGCAAACATTTGACTAAATTAAAAACTCTGTGGATGATCAATATTGTGAACAACTTTCGCAGGATCACTTTCGCATGTCGAGATGTTCATAATATGTGCGTGTGCAGGTGCTCACAGGCTGTTTCACAAGCACACGCAAAGCTTGAAGGTAAACAAACAACGGATTATCATAAACATTTTATCGATAATTATTTACACAGCATTAAGAAGGAACAAATAAACGTGATCTGACTAACATCTAGCAGCTAAAGGTGTCTGGAAAAAATATTCTAAGGCTTTTATTCTCATAAACCGCGCGCACGTGAATGCGTCTGACTGTTCTGATTGGCTAAAGCAGGTGTCTCACGTCAGCCCGTTCTAGACGTGCACGCGCTTATTACGGGAATCTTCCTTCTGCATTCACACAGCGCAGCATTCCGGCAAATTACCGGTAATGTTACAACTTCTCTTTCCGGAAAATAGCCAGAACGAATTTACCGGTATTTTCAAAAAGGGCCTGTTCACACATACAACCTTTCTGGAAAATTGCCGGTAATTTTCCGGAAAGGTTTGTATGTGTGAAAGGGGCTATAAACTAAACGGATGAGTAATAAAAAAATTCACCCCCCCCTCACAGTTGTCATAAAGGGTAATGTTATCTACTGTATATAAACCAAAATGGTTCCTTGAACCAGGCTTTATACATGTTTTTTCTGCTGTATCGTTGGCCATTTTCCCAGTGGGGTCAATAGAAATTTGCTCTATTATGGAGCCAGGACTAAGCCAGGAATTTTGATGAATTGCAGTTTCAGTTACTTCCGTATTTGCTTAATGAGGGAGAGCGGGAGGTTGACGCTTAGTCTAAATCAGTTAAAAAGAACCTAAATGCAGTCACGTGACAGTCCACATCACTCATTGGCCAGATGTTATTGAACGTATTTCCTTAACTGCTTTTCGATTTGTCAGAATTAACGTGTGGGAAATGCCAATGGAACTTCCGCAAGTAAACAAACAGGCAGACACAAAATGTCACTTTTTACTATGGAGCTACAACTGTGCTGGCTGATTGTGTACTTGCTCATAATATAATATATAGTTTGTGTACATCACTTTAGACAATTTCTACATTTCGAGAATTAAATGCGGCTGCAGCTGGAAAACAATATTTTAGTGCATTGCAAACAGCGAAGGTGCACTGCACGTCACTTCAAGAAGAGGTGTAAATTAATTTTGCTAAACTGTAATATGACTATCTTCCGGAAATATTACCAACGATCCATCAGGTAATGTTTCTCTCTCTCTCTTTCTCTCTTAAAATTGTTGGTAAAGTGCTGTCAACAAACATTTTCCTCCACATTCCATAATGCACAGCGCATCAGACTACGGCAGCTGGATTAAGCCGCCTTTCCACTGCACATGACATTTGGACACGACTGTCGAAATACGCCCCCTTGTAGCAGTCGCACAGAATTTTCAGTTTTGTCGCATACCATGGGAGAGAAGCTGTTCTTGCAGTGTCTGAAATAAACTCATAGACCGCAAATAATTTTGGAGGGAATGTGGAGACAACATAAACCTATAATATTTTTATTACTCATTTATGAATAGAAATGTTTTTTAAATTAAAAAAAAAAAAAAAAATTCCTATTTCTCATCTTGCACGCACTGACCTGCTTGGACAACACTGAAATACATCACATCTGGTCGGCCAGTGGCAAACGGTCTAGTCGCAGGAGTTCAAATATTTCAACGTATCCGCAGCTCAATTCGGATCCAAATTTTCCGCATACGCAGATGATCGTAGCTCCACGCAGCTCCCGGACTATTTTCCATTGGAAATGAATGACTTCTGGTTTGTCGCTTGTCGTGTGCAGTGGAAAGGTGACTTTAATTCAAAAAGACGCACTACAATTTGCGGTTGGGTCTGTTTAATTCAGATTATGTTCTCCAAACACAAACAAATCGCTCCAGGGTTTGTTTGAAAGTGTACCAAAAATCGAAAGTTTACGCTTTTTTTGGTCCGCTTTCGGTGCACACTCGAGTGCAATTGCTACATTCATTCACACCTGCCCAAATGAACTGCACCAAGAGGGAAAACTAACTCTACTGCGAATCAACCGAACTAAATAAGGCAGGTGTGAAAACATATTTGCATGCTGTTTAAAATGAAACTATTCAGATGGCGCTCTGTGGCGCGGCACAAATATGAAAAGTGTCCTGAGTTGTGGCTGGGCGCCATGGGCAGCCGTCGACTTGTGCCACCGGTGTGTGTATCCTGAAACCTATGTTTAGAATTCTGAAATGCATGGCGCTGCGTGGCAGTACGCGTCACGTCGCTGAGCGGGCCTTCTGGTGTGTGACCCACTTTTGACGTCTATTAGATTTTCACTGACTTTCCGCCTTGTTTTAGCCAAGACGACTATGTTGCTTGTTTTTCATTATTAATTGTAAAAATAAACGTTAAAAAATATATGAAAAAAGTTACTTAGCGTAAATTATCATTTCAAACACTATGAGCAGAAATCAGACATAGCCTTTTTTTTAAAGAAGCGAAAACTGATAAAGCATATTCAAACTTTATTAGGACAAACTGCTTTAAATATTTGAACAGCTGAAGTGACTTAAAACTTTCAAAAAGGAGTAAGCTCATTCAAATTGTGATGAAATGAACATATTATTAACAGAAAGAAATCATTTGACGCTGCTAATATCTCTAAAATACATCCGCTTCAAGGAAGGTTTTATATATAGAAAAGACCATGTGCTTTTGTCAGACAAGCCTCTGTGTATTTTTGAGACTGGTCTAACGTTGACAAATATTTGTTAAAAAAGTTAAACATATTATCATTTAACATGAAGCACTGACATAGAGATATGAATATTGATTAAAAAAATGCTTGTATGAATTCATAAACTGATACATTCATGCTCCAAAGCCTGAAATATAAAGGATTTCACATGTTTAAATACTGATATGAATGCATTTCTGGTGTAAACCATGCTACATTTAATTATGGCAGTTTGTTGGTTTTATTTACAGGTCTTCCAAAAATCTAATCTGGTTCCTTTCAGATGAAATATGAGCAATTATTTGGCAGAAATACAATATGATGATCTTCCTAATGAAAACATACCTCATTCTTATTTCGTGGGATTTTGTTTTCGTATAGCAGGTACAGTCATGGTTCTGATGGCACGCCGTGTTTGAAAATTCAAGTGTGAAGAGTGTAAACGTACAAGCAAACAAACAAAAGACATTCCACAATGATGAAATGAAATTTAAAAAAAAGAGTTATAGCCCTATTTCCTACAAGACCATGTCATCACGACTGATCACTTCATTAGTGAGAAAATCCTCTCTGCTCGAAATGACACTGTTGATATTCCAGATCAGCGCAGAGCGGATTGTGAAGAGCCTGATGTGATATGGTTTTAGGCAATATGAGAATTATCTGTAAACCCTTGGGTTCATTCACAGTGTTGTAAAGCATTTGCATTAGGCTCAAGAGTAACTTTCATCTTGGCAATTCACACACACACACACACACACACACACTCTCTCTCTACAGCTGCTAATTCATTACGATAATAAACTTATGGTTGGAGAGTTCAGTTACAAATAAAAGCTGATAGCATCAAAAGACAAAGACAATACATGTAAAATTGCGGTAACACTTTATAATGACGTATAAGTAAATCATAAACAATATTAGAGTATATAATGCATGAGCAAACTTAGAGAATTCTGTCATGTACATGTTTCAAACTTGATTGAGTTTTATTGTTTTCTGTTGAACACAAAAGAAGATATTCTGAAAAATGCTGGAAACCCATTGATCGCCATATCCAACATCAAGTAAATATGTATTTTGGGTGAACTATGCCTTTGAGTTGATGTAAACTGAAATAATTAAAGGGATAGTTCACTCAAAAATGAATATTTACACACTATTTGCTCCGCCTCAAGTGTTTCCAAACCTTCAATAATTTATTTGTTCTGTTGAAGTAAAATAAGATATTCTAAAAAAATGTTGGAAACCCCTTAATCTTTTTTTCTGCATCATGCACTTTTTGTAAAAAACATTCTTCAAAGTATCTGCTTTTTTGTTCAACAGAATAAGAAACACCTGAAGGAAGGTTTGATGATAGAGTAAATATGCATTTTTGGGTGAACTATCCATTTAAGTTAATGTAAACTGAAATCATTGAAGGGATAGTTCACCCAAACATGAATATTTACACACTATTACTCTCCCTCAAGTGTTTCCAAATCTTTATGAATTCATTTCTTCTGTTGAGCGCAAAAGAAGATATTTTTGAAATAGCTGAAAACCTGTAACCATATACAGAATGCATTATTTATGGAAAGCAATGATTACAGGTTTCTATCTCTCGTCAGAATATCTTCTTTTGAGTTTAACAGAAGAAAGAATCTCAAACTGAGTAAATTGATGACAGAATTTTTCGTTTATGATGAACTATACCTTTAAATTTTGACTCACCGTTAGGCCTGGTGATAGTTAAAGCTGAAGGGTGTAAATCTTCAACACTGATGCTATTAATTATTCTGTTTGACTTTAAATATAGGCCAAGAGGAAAAATAAAGGTCAACATTATATTATGTAATAGTGTTAATGTATATTAAAATAGTTGGAACTGTCAAACGTTAATTTATACAGTACATTTCCATTTAAATGCACATGATTTACTGAAGTCTGAAGGGAGGTAGACTACAGGTGACTTATCTGTTTCTTGCAGCAAACGGACAATTCGTGAAGAATATTTTATGAATTTAAATAAACATTATAGAAATATAGTATCATCCCTATACGGAAAATATTACAAATTAGATTTTTATTTAATGTGAATAAACAACTTAATAATTTGTGATTGTCAGCTCCTTTTGATAAAAGTTATTTAGCAAATATGAACAAAACAACACTATTATGGTTATTTTAATTGATTTAAGATACCCAGAAAATATAAAAATCTACATTTTTAAAACAAATTATAAATTAAAATCAGATATTTCCAGTCTAGTAAAAAAAGTGTTTACTTGTGCAAATTATCACTTGATTATCTGAAAAATGCAAACATTTACAATAAAATTAAAATAATTTAATAGCCTATATGTCAGTCTTCAGTTTAATTTACTTCTGTTTGCAATTTCTTTGTAACTAATTTTGAAATGTACTATGTGAAACAGCAATTTTTCAGTGTTTATGTAAATGAATGTTATATCAATTTCCACCTGATTGACATTGGATCTAATACAATAACTTTTCATTTGTTCAAGTGTGAAAGCTTGGAGCCAGTGTACACCTGTAGCACCTCCCCTTGTCATCATAAAGTGTGACCGCGCTGTTACAGACTGGTGTCAGCAGTCTCAACTTTGGGCACCGGTGGCTCAGTTATTGTATCTGGATGCGCGTCTCTGCAGAAGAACACCGCCGGGTTTTTACAGGCCCACATGGCCACATCCCCTCCGTTGGCCGGGCTGGAGGAAGACAAGCGGCTGTTTGCGCCGTGCCGGCTCACGTACCGGTCCCGAATCCGGTCAGCCCGGCTTCGAACCGCGTCCCTGCGCTGCGTCTGCGTGGACAAATACGCGGCGATGTTTCTAGTCCTGTATCCCTCCTCTCTGCTCCGGCCCAACAGCATGGATATATTCGGGTTCCTTATGGCGTAAATCAAAGGATTAATGGCACCGTTTGCCCACGCCATCCAAATAGCCACGGTATCCATAGCAGGGGTGAAAGAGTAGTTTCCGAGCGCGGTGATGATACCCATCAGGCAGTAGGGCCCCCAGCAGAAGATGCTGAACACAATCATGATGAGCACGGTGGTCGCGGTGCGCATCTCGCTGTAGAAGCGCAACAGGTGCGCGTAAGTGGTGACCGGCCGCACCCTGATCTCCGACAGCCGGACTGTTTTGCAGATGTTGTAGTGGCAGAAGCACATGAGGGCGAAGGGAAGCAGGTAACAGATTACTATTAAAGATATACTGTATGCGGTGCCCATCCTGGAGGTGCCGGAGTGGAACACGTACATGCAGTGATAAAACCCTTGTTTGTGCACCACCAAGCGCCTGGAGGTCTCCATAAACAGGTACCAGGGAAAGGAAAAGACCACGGCGGAGAACCAAACGGCCACCAGGAGCTGGATCGCTCGCCTCCGGCCAATTTTGGCTTGGGGTTGCCGGACGATCGCGTAATACCTGTCGAACGAGATAAGAGTCATGGTCAGTGTGGAGATGATGCCGAAACAGGTGTTGAAAAACCCATTGGCGATGCAGAAGGGCTCTCCAAACATCCACTTTCCATCCTTGCTGAAGAGCATCATGAAGGAGAAGGGTAAACAAAGAACCGCCGTGAGGAAGTCGGAGAGGGAGAGGGACATGATGAATGCATTTGTGACCGTTCTCAGTTGCCTGTGTTTGATTATGACCACCACAACCGCTGAATTACCCAGACTGGACAGTAAGAAGATGGCCAGGAGCAGCAGCGCCTGCGCGGCCACTGCGATGCCCTGGAGAACCGAGTTCCCCTCCGAACTCCTCACCGGGATGTCGCGGTGCACATCCGTGTAGTTGCTGGCCTGAGTGCTCAGCGTGTTTACCCCCGGTTTGGTGGTCACAATCTCTAGAATATAGCCCGAACCCGACATGTTGTCCGCGGTTGTGTTGCTGATGATGCTGGGGAGATCCATTGGACACGGTGTGGGGTGGAGGAGAATTCATCCCTTGTCAGTTTCTCCAGTGCCCGTTTCACAGTAAAAATGAGAGTAAGCTTGGATGGTCCATGTGTAGTCCTTTGATGCCATACAGTGTGTTTGGAGTAAAGAATGTTTCCCGTGCCCTCCCCCGTTACAGATGGGCTGTCGACGCTGCTCGCTTATTTTTAATGCTTGACGAAACGCGCTCACTCCTCTAGGGGGCGCTTGGAGGCCCACAAAGCTATTTTCTATTTAGACGTATTCACATTTGAGTAGCCATTCTGTCTTTTTTTAGAGGTTTAATCTTCTTGTTGTGTAGTATAATTTAATAAAATAATAATGGAAATGCATATGGAAATGGAACATATATAGTTGAACCCAGAAGTTTACATACAGTCTAAAAATAGAAACATAATCGTTTTTTTTAAATGTCTGATGGTAAATCATACTAAATATTTACTATTTTAGGTCTGTTAGGATTACCTAAATGATTTACATTTGCAAATGCAAAAAATTGTGTTTATTTTGAGCTCACTTATAGGTTTTAAGTTTATTTATTTATTCTCTGTGTGAAAAATATATCAAATATACACATTTTCATCATACTCTTCAGTTTTCTATTCATATAGCCAAGAATCCTTCTAAGATACTCGTGTGTAAACAGTGAAAAACAAAACGGATGCTAGAGGTAGGCCTACATGAATATTGGGCTTAAAACTTTTGTTTTGCAAGATAATTCTTTATTTGTATTATTGATACAGAGCTAATTTGGCAGTTTGGCATGCTGTAACTAAATAATAATTAAGTTAATTAATATCGTAAATGTATATGGAAATCGACCATATGAGTGTCTCTTATTATTTGTACAGTTTTCAATGGGGCTGTGATTGGTGCATTCTGACAAGTGGTAAGTAACAGGCACCTTTTGATAGTGAGCTATAAGATAAGTTCGAAAGACCCACCCGTCACTGACAAAGGTCCAGAATTTGTCCCATATATGAACTTATTTGTCTTATTTTAACTGCTTTGCAACTATAATCGTGATAATAAAAGGCTTTAAGACTATTGACTGTTACTTCGGCGTGACTTCAGCTAATTTTAACCAATGCAAACAATTGTTTTTTTAGTCCAACATCCAGCTGTGCAAGACAACTTACAATCCAAGTGAGGTCATCTTTCACTTTACTGTATTGTTGTTAAATAGAGAAAACATTTTACAGTTAACTTGTATTCTAAATCTTGAACCTTATTCTTGAAACAAAAACAGATCAATAAAATGTGTGAAGCACCACAAGCGGCCCATATTAGGATTAATTTGAAAACTAATTGGACTATTGTTGTTATGAATTTTTAAATGTAAAATCCTAGCTGAAGCTCTACATTTTTATTATTTTAAGTCATTACAAAAATATGCAAAATTGGGTTTACTTTGAGCTCACTTATACGTTTAAAGTTTATTTATTTATTCTCTGTGTAGAAAAATACATGAAATGTACACATTTTCATCATACCCTTTAGTTTAAATGCTCTACCAAATGGTTGACCCCAATAACCGTTAAAGTCATTTAAAGAATGAGCATTTAAATAATTCTGTTGCACTACTACACTTGATTTTAGTTTTATTATAAAAACATGAAAGTGTTAAATCTAAAATATTTGATGGCTTACTTCAAAAAATAAAGATGATTTAGTTTTAATAATGTTTTATTTTGATTGTTTTAAATAAATGTATCTTTACACCTCATATTTTTAGATTTTTCATAGGTATGTGTACCTGCATATCAACCACATTGTAGAGATTGATATTTTAGAAATTATGGCATGCGTTGAAAAAAAAAATGCATTGAGTGTGTTAACTAGCGACATTAGGAGTTAATAAATGCAAACCATTTTTTTTTAAATTTGGCAGTTTGGCATGATTTAACCAAAGAGATATATACCAAATAAAGAACACCACAGAAAAGAGAATTTATTAGCATTAACCTTGCTACTCTAGCCTATTTAAACTTCCACATGATCAATGAAAATGTTTCCATATTTCAATTATCCATGTCATGTTGATCTCCTCGTTCAGTTTTTTAAAAAATCAACTCCACACTAAACTTCTGAAAATCTCGTCGTAAAATTCTGTGTTGTGGTAGTTAACAGGCGGATGTGGCTCAGCCGTTCAGTAGCCACAATCTTTATTACGACCATAGTGAAGGTTATAGCCAGCGAATGTTTACTTGTTTGTCTAATTAGTTGCATTTCACCGCCGTCCGCCTACAGTTTCACACGGTTTTATTGTCACAGCCGCTCTACCAGCTTGTTTTATTTCTGTGATACAGATGCAGGCCCTGCCCCTCCCCGTGACGTTTGAAGCCGTTGCCATGACACCGGTCCTCATTTTTTTTCTCCAGCTGAATTACGCACTTTCTTATGAAGATTGGTTTCATTTGTTGTGGTTTGTGCGCACGCAGCCGCTGATTCATAGCTACAGACGGTGCCCTTAACGCACATCCATCCATCTATCTATCTATCTATCTATCTATCTATCTATCTATCTATCTATCTATCTATCTATCTATCTATCTATCTATCTATCTATCTATCTATCTATCTATCTATCTATCTATCTATCTGTCTGTCTGTCTGTCTGTCTGTCTGTCTGTCTGTCTGTCTGTCTGTCTGTCTGTCTGTCTGTCTGTCTGTCTGTCTGTCTGTCTGTCTGTCTGTCTGTCTGTCTGTCTATCTAGTCTGTCCGTCTGTCTGTCTGTCTGTCTGTCTGTCCAAAGACTCTCTAAAGAATATTGGAGGTGTATTAAAAAAGGGCCTTAAGTCACTGAACATTTAATATATATTTTTTTATAACTGATTATAAGGTTAACAAATGTAGTACTTGTAGTAAGATTACAGTACATTATTTTAAAATGCTATGACTCTTATACAGTGCTCAGCATATTTGATACATTTCTCAGTGAATATGGGTAAAATATATTGGTGCATTTGAACAAAACAGGTTTATTAAACGGATATATTTATTAAAGTAATATTTTAATCACATAACATCTTTAGAAAATACATTTAATTTCATGCAAACAAAATAACAAACTACATTTCAACAAAATTTTTATATATTTTTAGTTTTTCTTGATTTTTTTCTATTTTTGAAAATGTTATTCAACATTTTCCCTAACATATAACTTTGTGTAATGCTGAGCACTGTACATTAGACCTACATATTAACTCTATTAAATTCATACAACACTGTAGAAAATTAACATTTTTAAAAACTTAATTATTAAGTAACTAAGTCTGCATTTTTTATGTTCACCTAAATTCTCTCTTCAATATTTATTTATTTATTTATTTATGGCCTATAAACTTGATTCCAGTTTTTATTTTGTTAAGGGTTTCTTTAGGAATAAGAGCTGAAAAATATTATATTCATTAATTTTCCTTTTTCTTAGTCCCTTTATTCATCAGGGAATAAATCGCTAACCTATCCAGCACGTTTTATTCAGCGGATGCCTTTCCAGCTGCAACCCAGTACTGGGAAATATCAATACACACTATCTAAATAATAACACACAGTATCTAAATAACTGATCAAAAATTAGCAAATTAATAGGTAATTTTTCAACTACAGGCACTTTTATGTCCTTTGATCATATATCCAAAAAAAAAAAAAAAAAAAAAAAAAAAAAAAATATATATATATATATATATATATATATATATATATATATATATATATATATATATATATATATAATTTTGTTTAAATTTCTCTTTCTTTGTCAAACTAACAATAAAACCTACTTAAAATTTTTTAACTAAAGTTCGATTAAATTTTTAAAATATATTATTCAACCTCCTTTTAGGTGTCAAAATCACTGTTTTTTGCCTTGTCCCACAGCCAGAGTTTTAAACATCAACAATAAAGATAACATTTTAAAATAAGATTTATCTGGTATCTATTAATGTATCTTAATTACGCACTAGTGAAATAATTTAAATATTTTATAGCTATTAAAGTGAAACTATTATCAATATTATTTTTTTATTCAAAATATAGCTGTCGCACAGTATCAGTGTCATTTCCACCACAACACTGCAATGTCACTTTAAAAAGTTTGTGTGACAGATTATTTAGGCGGTTTCTATGAAAATTAATAGTGCCATCTGAGAACATGTTCAAGATGGAGGGAATTTACATTTTTGTCAACAACACTTGAAGAAAAATCAAGGTAAATATTGCTTGATATAAGGAAATACATTTATTCTACGTTGTTTCCAAACATGCTGTATCTTCAAAGATGCTTTTAAAAACCAAATAAATAAGAATGTTTTGTATACATGAAAGGGTAGTATTAATTCAAAGCTAATGGGTGAAGCTATTTTCATTTTTTCACAATAAACTGTTGAAATGTCATTTCCACCACTGTCTTTTCCATCACCACACACATTTAAAAAAATATATTTAAAAAGTTCTCATCACACATTAAAAGTGTGTTCACAATTTATAAGTCCATGCTCTGTTTAATATACAAATTCAGTTTATTTATTTTCTAATAAACTCTTAACCAAATTAATATTAAATTTTAGAGTGTGACAGGTGTAAAATTTAGCATACAACTAATTTATTTCATTGACAAATGTATTATTATTATTATATATTGTGGAAAGATTGGTTAAACTTCATGCAAAAATGATCTTAGACAATGTTTGACTGCCATTATTTATTTCATTTTGAAATCAAAGCTGTATATTAAGATGTGGTAGGATTGACATTTGTTCAGTTCATGATGGAAAAAATGTTTCTCTTCTTATCCAAGTTTGTCCTCTTACAGATCTTAAAACTAGACAAATAGTTTAAACTTATGAGGCTATGTTAAGTTAATTTTGAACAAGTTTTTTTTACTCAACTTCACAAGGCTAAAAATGCCTGTAGAGGAAGAATGGCCTTTATACTGTTCAGCAGGTGAAAAACAAAAGCTTATGTGACAAAAGTATAGCTTACGTGACTGTCTGCATACAGTAACCTATACAGGAACAGTGCCAGACAGAAACTGCAGATATTCTTTACTATTTCAGTGCGAAATTTTGTAAAAAAATAATAAAATAATAAAAAAGATAATAATAAAAACAATAAAAAAAATAACTTTTTAAAAATAATAACACAATGCAGATTCAATTAGATCCACTACTTTGTTATAAACAAAGCAAGACATCTATATAGGCTACTATATCTACTAAAAGACAGGAAATAATACTTTCCAAACTGTATTGTAAATAAAGCATTTAAATGTGCACATTAGTTAACATATTACTGAAATGATTGTAAATAATTGCACATTTTCCATAGGTAAATAAACAAAACAAAAACAAACAGCTAAACACGTTACAAACACGTTACAAAAAGCTAAACATTAGCCTATGTGTGGATTCCTAGAACTAACCGATATAAAATGAGGCACTTACCCAGCAAGAAAAAGCTGTAGGCAACAGTAGCTAAAAGGGCAATGGTAAAATTACACAGAATGCACTATTTAGCGGACATTTCTGAAAACATTATTCAATTACTGAGCATTTTAGACTCATACTTGTACACCAGAGAGCGGCGCTGTGTAACAGTTGACCTTTGGCAATTCCTCCCGCATTACATGAAGAAGACGGAGACATTCTTCCGGTTTCTCTTACGTCGGGTTTGGTAACTGCAGTTTAAAACCAACTAATTAAATAAACTGGGCGATTGCTCGGTTTGTAATGCTGCTTATGAAATGGGTATGTTAAAACAGCCAATATTAAATGCAGACATCTTATGAGAATGCGATTCAGCGTTGATTTCTTGCTGTTAATTACGTCGCTGTATAGTTTGCTGCCATAACAACATTTGAATAAGATGACGTTATTGTTTTGTTGTTGTTGTTGTTGTTGTTGTTGTTGTTATATTATTATTGTCTTCATTATTTGATGGTGTTTTTTTCTGCGTGTATTACAGCCGTGGCAATGAGCTCCACTTGTCCTGGACTTTACTGTGGAAGAACCAGCATTAATGATACTACTGATATATGGGGAGAATGTGGGGTAAGTTTCTCATTTTTACATCAGTCTGTTCAAGTAAACCACACATAATTTATATTACAATGTGCTCTAATTTAATAGTTTGTATGAATAACATTGTTGAAAAATCAATAAGCGCAGTTGTTTTGTCTACATGCTCACTCTGATTCAGGTAAAGTTGGTTTTATTTCATACACATTAGGTCAGTGACAAATTGTGACACGCTCCCTATATTGTTAACCATGGTACTTTCAATATTCAGACTGAAATCACCTATAAATATGACTTCAAAGCAACATCAGCACTATTTAATTGACTGTGAACAATGTTGTAGTTTATTTATTCATTCATTCATTTTCTTTTCGGCTTAGTCCCTTTATTAATCTGGAGTCGCCACACGAAATGAACCGCCAACTTATCCACCTGTACCGCATGTCTTTGGAAACCGGAGCCACCCGGAGGAAACCCATGCGAGCACAGGGAGAACATGCAAACTCCACACAGAAACACCAACTGACCCAGCTGAGGCTCGAACCGGCGACCTTCTTGCTGTGGGGCGAATGTGCACCACCGTTCTGCCCCACACTTGCCCCGCAGTTGTTGGCTGCTAATATGATTTCACTATTATGAATTTGCAAATAATACTTTAATTAAATTATATTATAAAGGACAAAGTCCGAATGTGTGAAAATTATACCAACTTTACCTCAATACTGTAGCCTTACTTCACTAAGTTACATTCGTTTAAAATGCCATGTCATCATGTCATGTCATTTTCATTTGCTTATCTTGGGTTGGGTCACGGAGGCAGCAGTCTTAGAAGAGAACCCCAGACTTCCCTCTCCCCAGACACTTCCTCCAGCTCCTGTAGGGGTATCTCGAGGCATTCCCAGGCCAGCCGAGAGACATAGTCTCTCCAGTGTGTCATGGGTCCTCCTTGAGGCGTCCTCCTGGTGGGATATGCTGCCTGGAACACCTCCCTAGGTAGGCCTCCAGGAAGCATCCGAAACAGATGCCCAAGCCACCTCAGCTGACTTCTCTCGATGTGGAGGAGCAGCAGCTCTACTCTGAGCTCCTCCGGGGTGACAGACCTCCTCACCCTGTCTTTAAGGGTATACGAGATCTTGTCCTTTCGGTCATGACCCAATACTCATGACCATAGGTGAGAGTAGGAACGTAGATTGACCTGTAAATTGAGAGCTTAGCCTTTCGGCTCAGCTCCTTCTTTACCACAGCAGACCGATACATCGACTGCATTACCGCTGCCACTGCACCGATCCGCCTGTCAATTTCATGCTCCATCCTTCCCTCACTCGTGAACAAAACCCCAAGATACTTGAACTCCTCCACCTGGGGTAAGGACTTTTCTCCTACCTGGAGATGCCAAAACCACCTTTTTCTGGTGGAGCACCATGGCCTCGGACTTAGAGGTGCGGATTTTCATCCCAGCCGCATCACACTTGGCAGCAAACCGCCCCAGTGCATGCTGAATATCCATGTTCGATGAAGATTTCCATTGACTAAATGATATTGTATTGAATTTTGGATTATTTATGAACATTAACAGTTAAACACTAAACAGTTGTATTTTAATTGTTTTATTTATTTTATATTATAAAAGATGAATAATTTAGGACCATAACTTTACAACTAATGTAGCTGCATGACATATGTATTACAATAACAAACATATTGCTTATAGTTAGTTAATGCATTAAATGATGTTTACTAGTGGATCATATTTAAAGTTTTAAACTTTTCCTGGTCATTCAAGAGCAATTTTGCTCGTATTGATAGATTTGATTGCACAGTGGACTGGATTTACTTTGTTTTGAAGTGATTTTGCCATTTTTTATTATAAAGGTTTGTCCTCGTGGCGAGAGGACGAACTTGGAGAAGATCTGTATGAAATGCACTGGATCTCCTGATCTCTATGACTGGCTGTACCTGGGCTTCATGGCAATGCTGCCTCTGGTCCTGCACTGGTTCTTTATCGAGTGGTATTCTGGGAAAAAGAGGTAATAAGCTGTATTTATAAGTAATATTTTAAAATGGAAAACAGTATAAACTGACTTTGTTGAACTGCCTTTTCTAAGTGGTATAGATTTAATAAGGTGCCAGAAACATTCTGTAGGGGTTTTGAACTATTCTCTGTAAATCTCTAATATAATACTAAATAATACTAATCTGTCCAGCACCATTAACCAAGAAATTTTCAGTATATTTTTTCTGATGCTTGGTTTGAACTTCAGCAGATCATCTTGACCAAATCTACATGCATTAATGGTTCAAGTTAGAGCAATGTGATTTGCTGAATAGACATTTGAGTAAACAAGCATGTGTACTTATTAAAGGGACTGCAGGCGAATAGAGTAAAAAAAGACTTTATCACTATACTTCCTCCGTTGATTGGTTGCTTTAGGACTTGTAAACATGTTTGTATTACTTTTGTAAGTTTGCAAGTTTACTAAAATGTTATGTTTTAATATGCAAATGAAGCTTCACTTAATTGATTAAAATGTGCTTATTTGCATAGATTTCTTGCACAAAAATTGGACAGTACAATTTTATTTATTTATTTTTTTACATTTGGTGGCAAATGTTTTTTCAATATAAAAATCTCTTTTTTTAATTTATTCTTTATTAAACTTTTCACAAATAAACAACTATGGTACTGATATCTTGTAACCTGTACAGAAGTTCTTGTCACGCATTCAATTGCATACACATTCTTAAGAGCAAAAACAGAAACAAAAGAAGATTAGAAAGACAAAGGCTAGTCTTAGAGGATCCTAAAGACCCAGAGAGTGGAACATATGCACCCAAACACTTCAGATCTCTGATGCAAATCAAGAGTCAGTTTTTTCAGTGGTAAAAAAAGTTGCCTTGCTCAATCATATATTAACTAAGCAGTTAATAATAAAAGTATAATATAACCATAATAAAAGTATATTTGTTTTGACCAAGTGTGCACAAACATTCAGCACCTGTTCTTTATCACGATCAAGACGAAGATTTGGGTATGTCTTTGTATAGAATAAAATGTTGTGTATATAATTAGACAAATTATATATTAACATGATACATGTCTTTCTTTAAAAAAATAGAATAAGAATAAAAGAATAAAACTGTAAAGTTTGTCAGCTGAAGTGAAGATTTATGGCTCACTGAAGGAGTTTTTATTTTGAAATATGTATTGTAATCGAAATCTACACACACAGATTGATAAAGTGCAATAAAAGCAGCACATAAAAGCATATTTTGTTTCTGTTTCATTATACTGAAAACAATTTGTGAAAAGCCAAAAGAACTAAATCTCAAAATTAGTTTTTGCCTTTCAGTAAAACTGGTATGACTGAGGAAATTCTGTCGTGTAGATGGGATTTTCCAATATTGTGGCAAAACTTTTCAGACTAACCTGTGTTCTTTTAATGTCATCAACAGTTCTAGTGCCCTTTTCCAGCACATTACGGCCCTGTTTGAATGCACAGTTGCTGCTGTAGTGACTCTGCTGCTCAATGATCCTGTCGGCCAGCTGTATATTCGTTCCTGTGAGGTGAAGATGCTTTCAGACTGGTACACCATGCTGTATAACCCCAGCCCAGACTACGTCACCACGTTGCACTGCACACAGGAGGCTGTGTTTCCTCTGTGAGTGGCTTTTATAGCGATATATGTATGTGATTTGAGGCATCAGTTATATTTGTTGGTTTCTAGGCTTTACACTATTGACACATTGTTGCATTGTTTAACACAGTTGCATTGGATTGATAATGCCATATATTTTTTATTATAACATTTTAAAACTTATGAAACAAAAAATACAGTTCCTTAAAACCCTATAATTTGGTCTTACTACATTAGGAATGGACCACGCTTGAATGGCGAACTTCTTTTCTGTTAGCTGGACAAAGTAGGTTTTGATCATGATTCTGCTCAACAAAAAACTAACTTGATTTGTGACTTGCTATTTTTTTCCAGATACACCATTGTGTTGATCTACTACGCTTTCTGTCTGGTTTTCATGATGCTTCTACGGCCACTTCTGGTTAAAAAGATTGCATGTGGTTTAGGCAAGACGGATCGTTTCAAGAGCATCTACGCAGCGCTGTATTTCTTTCCCATCCTCACTGTCCTGCAGGCAGTTGGAGGAGGACTGCTGTGTAAGTAAAAAAACTATGTGTATATATATATATATATATATATATATATATATATATATATATATATATATATATATATATATATATATATATATATATATATTTTTTTTTTTTTTTTTTTTTTTTTTTTTTTTCTTAACTTTTTACACAAATTGAACAGTTAGAGATTGAAAAGAACAAATAAAAACAGTAGTATAAAATTTTAGTAATATAGCATTTTTTATTAGTTATTTTATCAATGTCTAATTGTTTCATTTATGTTTTAGTTATTTTTAATCTTAACTTCAAATTTGAGTAATATTACTGTTGTTTATTTGTTTTATTTCAATGTCTAATATTTTCATTTATGTTTTAGTTATTTTTAATTTTAACTTCAAATTTGAGAAATTTTAATGTTGTTTTACGACATTTTTTCATTAACATTTTTAGTTATTTTTAATCTTAAATTCAGATTTTATTAATATTACAGTTTTTTTAGATGTCTAATTTATATTTTAGTTATTAAATATATAAAAATATTAAATAATTTTTTTTATTAAATAAAAAAATAAAAAATAATAAAAATATTAAAAGCGTTCAGCACATAATGCGGGGTCTGCAGATGTCAGTTTTGGAGGACACAAGCAGACATTATCATTGTGCTTGCACATGGTCAGTCCTGCTTGTTGCCAAAGTAACATTAGGTGAGACACAGACAAACACACATGAATGAATGTTATGAAAACTAAAGTTTGTTGTACAGTTGGCGGTTCATTCCGTTATTTGGTAGGACTGCATTCATATCAGAAGTGTTGGGCAATTTACTTTAAAAGAGTAATTAGTTATAGTTACTTTACACAAAAAGTAACTGAGTTACCGAGTTACATGTATATAAAAGTAACTAATGACCAGGGAAAGTAACTATTGTGTTACTTTAAAAAAAATCTAAGTTGTCAAATGACTATAAAATAAATATAAAACATTGTACCCTAATCTACACTATTTTAATGTTGTTGTGGGATAATGTGAGAGCCATCAACAGCGTTTCCTCAGCTATATATCTAGATATTTTTAGTTTAATTCTGTCTAGTAAGTATTTGCGGTGGAGAAAAATTTTCATAACCAAAAAAAGTATCGCCGTTAGTAATGCTGTTTATTCATAGCGCTGTTATCCCCATCACTGCATATCAGAAGTGAACCATACCAGAGTTTGTGCGAACCAAACGCTAAACCAGTGGTTCTCAAACTGTGGTATGTGTACCACTAGTGGTAGAGGGCTTCCTTCAAATGGTACACGTAGGAATCAGTTATGTCATATGTACATGCTACATATATTTAAAATGCATCAAAAAATATTTATACATTAATACGATGACATATAATCTATGTGTAGCTTCTATCGTAATTTTTTACAGGAGTACAGTAGTTTTTTTTTTTTTTTTACACTTTTTAAGAAAAGTAACCTATTATTTTTACCTTTTAAAAGCACATTTTATTTTAAATGTTGACGTTTTAGTTTTAGTTTTTTTTTGTTTACATGTAAGCACAGTGCAGGGTTAATGTTCAAATAATTTATAATGTTTAAAGTGGCTGACAACAATATTGTTATTAATAGTAATTAATCTGCCTTGTTTTTTAACTTTACAAATCTGTAGCTGATTTACTGGGCCTACAATGCTACTGTATTTCAATACCGCTCATTAAGTTGGTACTTGGAGAGACAATTTTTTTTCTGAGGTGGTACTTGATGAAAAAAATTTGAGAATCACTGTCCTAGACCACTTCTTTTAGGCTGACTCTGGTATGGTTCACACATGCTCACCTGAGTTCAGAAGACATCGTTCACACTAGTTAAACGTACCAAACTCTGATGTTAAATGAACCTGGTTGCAGACCAAAAGTGCTAGTGTGAAAGCACCCTAATACACTACATTTTTGTTATTTCACTCAAAGCTTAAAATCGATTGTTCTTCTTTGTAACTTGACGGTTACTGAGGCTGTTTATGCCACAATGATTTCAGCAGTAAAATTTAATTTTTTTTTATGTGTTTTGACTGTTCATTTACACAAAAGCCACAATATTTTGCATTTCCAAGTGCACATTTTTTAAAAACAAAACTGTTATTGTGTGTGTAAACTACAAAAATATGATTTTGTGAAATGATAACATTCCGGTTTCCCTCACAGTCTAAAGACATGTGGTACAGTTAAATTGGTTAGGCTAAATTGTCCGTAGTGTATTAGTGTGAATGAGTGTGTATAGATGTTTCCCAAAGATGGGTTGCAGCTGGAAGGGCATCCACTGCGTAAAACATATGCTGGATAAGTTGGCGGTTCATTCCACTGTGGAGACCCCAGATTAATGAAGGGATCAAGTCGAAAAGAAAATGAATGAATGAACGAATGAAAAGATAACATCAAGCTTATCTATATCATGTAATTTATAGGCTTAACCAAATAATTAAAAACCAAAACAATGTTAAGCTACATATCCATGTGTACAGCCTTAGTTTTAGCTAATACCATTGTTTGTATATTTCCCTTTTGTTTATTTTACCAGACTATGCGTTTCCGTATATTATTTTGGTCCTATCCTTGGTCACGTTGGCAGTTTACATGTCAGCTTCAGAGATACAGGTAAATGCTTTTTTTTTTTTTAATGTTATACTGCTTTTGGTTTTAAATTCAATGCTAATTGTATTAAAACGGTTTGTGAATTATCTCCCACAGTCTTTCAAAAACCTTGTGGCCAAGAAGAAACGGCTCGTCGTTCTCTTTAGCCATTGGCTCCTCCATGCATACGGTATTATTTCTATATCCCGACTGGATAAACTAGGCCAGGATTTGCCTCTGTTGGCTCTGGTGCCTGGACCTGCTCTCTTCTACCTGCTGACGGCCAGATTTACCGAACCAAACCGGATTCTGTCAGAGGGGGGAAATGGACACTGATATCATTACCTTTGCTGGAGAACCGATTCGTCCAAATGTAGAGGAATGGCATTTAGTTTAATGACACCTTTGGGACGAATGCCAAAAAGCCATATTCACAAGATTTCTTTTTTGTTTGCTTGTAATGAACCAAGATCAAATGAAATATTCTCATTTCGCTCTTCATTTGTTTACCGTTTTCCTTTAAATCCGAAATGTTTTTGTAAATTTATTGTAGCTTTATTATGTACTATTCATTTAGATACTTGTAACTGTTATCAAACAATAGATCCAACTCAAATACTGACTGTATTGTACAAATTTTACATTTTGCATGTTGTAATTGAAGCAGCAGGTCTGTGAATTTCATTGAAATGTTTTTACCCGCATGTCAGATTTTCTTGTGCCAAATATAGTTGTATGTATATGTTTTTATTTTTTGTTCATGTGTAGTTAAATGATATTAGCTTAAAACAACAAAATATTGTGACATCATATTTGCGTGCGGCATTATATGAATGTTTCGCTGCTGAATATGTAAATAGGCGGACAACCTGTATTGTGAGAATAATTCTATCAAGTTTTCGATTTTCTCAGAAGGTGTTTCTTTAAGCACGTATATTTATAGTTATAGCTCTATGGTTATATATTTTCTCAGTTATATATCACTGATTCAACTTGTATGTGATGTTTTACATGGTGTGGTGGTTAGTTAAATGAATAACCATCAGATCTATGAAAAAGAGTGTTTGTCAGCAGTGTTTGACTTGTTGAATAAATTATGGTGACTTATTTTATTTGGCATATATGTGATATAATTTTGAATAGTACTACAGAGGTTAAATACAAATCGAGTAGTACTGGTTATTAAAGGGATAGTTCACCCAAAAATGAAAATGTACTGAATATTTAGTCACCCTCAAGTGGTCTTAAACGTTTGAGTTTCTTTATTTTGTTGAACAAAAGATATATTGAAGAAAGCTGAGAACCTGTGACGTAGTAGTAGAAAAACGATTCAAATATCTTCTTTTGTGTTCAAAGGAAAAAAGAAGCTAATACAGGTTTGAAATAAGTAATGGGAGAGTAAATGATGACAGAATTTAAAATTTTTTTGACTTTCATTTTAACACAGTCCATAAAGGATTTGTTTGTTAACTTTTATTAGAATAAATCTAAAAAAAAAATTACAACATTCAAAAGAAAATATTTTGGTCTTCGTGAGTTCATGTTACCTAATACTAACAAACAAAACCTTTTAAAGTCTGAAATATATAAATTTGGCCAGAAGTTGCTATTAAAGGAACACTTTACATTTTTTGGAAAAGTTAAACAGTTAAATTTTTACAATTTTTGAATCCTTTCAGCTTGTCTCCGGATCTGCTGGGAAAACTTTGCTTAGCATAAATCATTGAATCAGATTAGACCTTTAGCATCTCATTCAAAAAATATTAATTTCCTATTTAAAGCTTGACTCTTCTGTAACTGCACTGTGTACTAAAACTGATGGAAGTCCATTGTGTATCTACAGCATGCTTTAAATTGAACAATTATTGAAACTGGTTATTTTTGAGTGAGATGCTAATGGTCTGATTCGATTCAGTTGTTTATGCTAAGCTAAGCTAAAAGTGTTCCCGTCAGACTTAGAGATCGGCTGAATGGATTAAAAAATGATAAAATTCCCCTGTTCCTTTAATGAGTCAAATCTCTGTAGAATGGTGTAAATGTTTCAATTCAATATCCTTACTTTTGTAGTTTGTCTTCTCTAACATGGACCTAATGCCCACTAACTCTTTCTCCAGCTTGTTGTTGATGTTGCCGATGTGATGTTTTCTTTCTTGAATCCTCTCTAAAAGACTGTTTATGTCTTCCACTATCTTCTGGTCTTGATCTGCAGATTCCTAAAATAGAAGATTCAAGATTAGTTCATTTATTGGAAAGTAACATCTGCTAGAGCCAGAAGAAGAGGCAATCCAACCATCTTTGTATATGCATTATTTTTGTTTATGCTAAATTAATGATCAATTATTGACTTGCTGTAGATTTGCTGATTGAGCTTCATTTGTATAGAATCAGTAATGAGCCTTTTGTTCAACCAAAAATTATAATTTGCTTTTAATTTACTTTGTTGTTATCAAACAGTGCCATTTTTTGTGACAGGACTTTTGCTGAGGCTGTAGACTGAAGGTAAAAATGATGTAAATGTTCAGTTTCTTGCACAGACTGCTCCTTCAGATGGAATTTTTGTTTTATCTGTATGTTTTTTTACTTGTTTCAGAGTTTACTGATAACTTGCAATTTAGGAATCAGCAAGGACTACAGTTTAAGCCAATAATCTTCTTTAAATTTTCTGCTGAAAAGAAAAAGGAAAAGTCACCTACATCCAGGATGGCCTGAGGGTGAGTAAATGACCAGCACATATTCATTTTTGGGGAAACCATTACTTTAACTAAATAGATTTTTGCATGTACCTCTGTAAACAGCACATCTGTTGTCCAGGTGTCTATTAGACTCTCTGTGGATGGAAAATAGCATTTACCATTGGTGAAATTTCACAGGTGAAATTGAGTCACTACAGTAGTTATAAAAGCGCTATACAAATAAAGGTGAATTGAATATATATATATATATATATATATATGTGTATATATATATATATATTTTATATATATATATATATATATATATATTTTTTTTTTTTCCCATTAGCAGATCAAACTGCTGTTGTCCAATTAATCTAAATTAGTTACCCTTAATTATCCTAGTTAAGTATATTGTAAAATATTATGTACTATTATGTATATGTATATATTATGTATGTAAAGACAAAAGTAATAAGAAATTAATTAGTTATTTAAACATTGTTTAAAATTGTTTAAAGATGTTTAAAAATCTTTTCACTGTTAAATAGCACTTACTTTTTTTTTTTAATTATTTAGAATTTCGAAAATTCAAATTAAAAACGATTTGAAATTTCAGAGGAGGGCTAATAGTTTTGCCTTCATTTGTATAGACCAGGCGTGACCAACCCTGTTCCTGGAGATTGACCTTCCTGCAGATTTCAGTTGCAACTGATCAAACACACCTGTCTATATTATCAAGTGCTGTTCAGGTCCTAATTAATTGGTTCAGGTGTGTTTGATCAGGGTTGGAGCTGAACTTTGCAGGAAGGTTGATCTCCAGGAACAGGGCTGAACACAACTGGTATAGACAATTTCAATGTGGTCATCTCATTGGCCTATGACCATTTCCTGCTTGTTATTAAACTATTTCATACTTGTAACAAGAGGTAATTCAGTCTCGACTTTATGTTAAAACAGCAGTCATAACATTTTTTTTATCAATATGTGGCTCTTTTTGGATTCTCGGAAGCTATTGAAATTAAAAATATAAAACAAAGAATACGTTGGGACCATTTTTTGTTTTTGTTTACATCCCTCAAAAGGGTCTATTTACAAAAGAAAAACTGATCATTCTACACTCTAAAGCTACAAGAGCTGTAACTGGGTTGGTAGTGGTACCTAAAGTGTCCATATTAATACCTCAATGTTACATATTAGTACCTAAAAATGACAAAAGTGTACCTTTTAACATTTTTAGGTACAAATATATGCTTTTGAGCTACAAATATGAATTCCGTTAAGTACAAATGAGTATTTTTTGAAAAGGTACGACCCAGTAACCAGCTCTCGTAGCTTTATTTCTGAGAGTGTAAGTTACAGTGCTCAGCAAAAATGAGTTTGAAAATGAACATTTTTATCCATTACTCAGTGAATATAGCAAATGATTTCATTTAACAAAACAGTTTTATTAAACATTCATTCATTCATTTATTAATTTTCCGTCATCTTAGTCCCTTTATTCATCAGGGGTTGCCACAGTGGAATGAACCTTTAACTTGTCCAGCACATGTTTTACACACCGGATAGCCTTTCAGCTGCAACCCAGTACTGGGAAACATCCATACTTAGTCACATACAAATACGGCCAATTTATTTTATCCAATTGACCCATAGTGCATGTTTTTGGACTTGTAGGGGAAACGGGAGCACCCGAAGGAAACCCACACGAACACAGTGAGAACATGCAAACTCCACACAGAAATGCCAACTGACCCACTTGAGACTCGAACCCGCGACCTTCTTGTTGTGAGGCGACAGTGCTAACTACTGAGCCACTGTGTCGCCCTAATAAACTGTTATTAACATTATAATAAGTTTGGCACCTAAGATCTTAAGGAACAGAAGAGGAATACATTTACATTCAAACAAGGTATTGCACAAAAAATGGACAAATTACAAAATATTAACAAATATTTGTATAACCTTAATTTGGGTGTACACATTTGTGGACTGTGATCTTATCTTTTTTATTAGATTAATTGCAGTTTTGGCTTTGGTACTGATTAATCTGAAGTATATATTTTAACTGATTAAAACGTCTTTCTAATATGGGTATATCTTAGTGGTTAAAAGGGTAGTGGTAAAGTATAAAGATTTAAAATGACAGTATTTTGGTATTCACATTAATCATCCGTTATGTCATAAAATTATTTTTGTTGTAAATATGCCTGACACGTTATTTTCGAAAAATCTCTCTCAGTTTAAAACAAAACTCACTAAATATGGACTGCACTTCCTCATTCATCCACTCTGCCTCTTGTATATACTTCTCCTTGTCTTTTTTCGCTGCCATTATTTCTTCCTTCATTAGTTCGATGCACTGCAAGCACAGAGCTGTTAGAAAACACAGTTGAGGGAAAAAATCTCAGGCAGACGTGCTAATGTGTTTATAAGCTGTGAGTTTTCACCACATGCAGACGACTGTTCTCCATCATGACCCGCTCCAGCATGACCCCGTTCTCATAGATGTTTGTCTCCACGGCATTGATCTCTGCTGCATTAGCAGTTAACATCTCCATATGCTTTTCTCTCAGAGTCATCAACTCTCTCTTCAGGTCATCCTACATGGCAGCAAATGTACAAATGGAGTCTATAGCCAATAGGTTATTTAGCACACAACTGGGAAATGTGAAAAGCTGAGTAAATATTAACCTTTGGCTGTATGAGAGCAGCAGTCTGCCGGGTGATCTTCTGAACGGAGAGCTCAAGATGATTTTTTTGGTTTTCCAATTCTGGTAAAGGGGGTAAAAATCATAAAAGAACATTAATTAGCACATTTTTGAAAACAATTCTTTAACAGGGTGTAAACTACAAGAACAAGTTGAGAAAATGGCAATTCAAGCTCATGAGTGTTACATACATATGGAGACTGTTTTAAAAGTGTCGACATTTGTAAGCAAAATCTATTAAAAATGCAAAGTAAAACTGTTTGTTTACAAGTATATGTGTAAACCTAGGTCTGGGCGATAAAATTGGTATCGGTATTTATCGACCAACACCATTGTCAGTAAAAAAAAAAAAAAAAAAAGTTCAATATGAAGTTTGATAAGATGGCTATAGTTTATCAAAATGTGGCTGCTGAGCGCGCGTCTTGGAAGCAGTGTCAATAAGCTTTGGATGTAAGTTTGTCATTTCCAATGGAGGCGCGCAACTTGCACGTTAGGAGATTTTCCAAGTACTACTAGTTTAAAAACATCTGGGGCCTCATGTATCAACGCTGCGTACACAAAAAAAACTTTGCGTACACCAGGTTTCACGCTCAGAATCGCTCACGTTTGGATTTACTAACAATGAACTGAATGTGGGAATGTGCACAGCTTCACGGCAGCTTTCTGGCAGGCGTACGCACATTTTTTGTGCGTGTCTGTTTTATTTCCATTGGCGACTCCTAGAGGCAGTTGTGTTAAATTCCTCTCTACAAAGTGTCTGAGCCTTGCAATGGCACCTGTATGAGACGGGTTCATCTAGCAGGTATATAAGGTTTCCATACCATACAGTTGACCAGCCAAACATTAAAGCACAATTTGCAGCAGTCGCCTGTTTTCCCAATGTAATCTGAGCTACCTACCGCACGCGCATTGCTATAAAGACACTGTCTGAAGATGAATTTGCATGCGTGAATCAGAAACATTTCCATTCAATAAATGTGCAAATAAAATATGATGCACAAACTTATTGATGATTCCTACTTGTCTTTCTCGTGATAAATAGTGGGCAAAATCTGATATGTAGCGGGGAAAAAAAGAAGAAAGAGTTCATCAGACGCTGGATTCGAACCGAGCTCATGCTCGAACGTGTCAATACATGATCACATGCGTCTTACGAGGTGCGCCACTGAGACTGTTAAGGGTACTGCAACATTTTACAGATATAAACCACACTATTTCTTTTTTTAATGCACTCAGTGCGATGTTCAGACCCAACTGTGTTAACCGCATCAGCTAAACTCTCCCACTCTATTTTTTTTCTTTTGTTGTTAATTCCGGAGAACAAACTTGCAAATAACACCGCTTTTCTCCGGTCTACTTCCGAAAGCAGCACCTCCAATTCACATTCTGTTCAAAGTTTCTCTTTTTGCTTGATTTTGCCATTGCTTTTTCGTTGGGTTTTTCCATTAGCATAGTCATTAGCATATTCATATGGGGGAGGAGGCAGGGAGGGGTTTTGTGCTCGTGCATGCTGCGTGAAGCGTTTCACGTTCATTCGGATGTACAAAAGAATATGCGTGAGATTCGGCGTACGCAGCGTTTCATACATCTGAATTTTTTTCTGCGTACGCACATTTACAGCTTTGTGCGTACGCAATGTTTTAGTAAGATTTCCACGCAAGTCTTCGTACATGAGGCCCCTGAACTTTTTCGAATGCCGCAAGCGCACCGCGATTCATGACAATAGAATTATCTGCTTCGCACTTTGTATAGAATATACACATTTCAGTAATAGACTGATTTCATGCGGTCGCCATTTTAAACAGCAAAATCGAGGCTGCTGTAAGAAGTATCGCCTGAGTCACAACAAAGGAATGTTTTGTACCTGGCTGTTTATCTTATCAGCAAAGAGAAAGTGACAAAAATTTATTATATCACCGCTTTCCAAGTGACCAGAACATCCTTTTTGAATGAACAGTGAAAATAAAAATGAATATTGGACCTCATTTTCAGCTAAGTTAAGGGAAATGGCACTAATTAGCTAATGTTTTCTTTCCCAAACACACATTCTAGATGACTTTATCAAACTTAAGTTAATGAATTGATTCTTTCACTATATTAGACTTGTCACAATACAAAATTTTGAAACTGAAATGTAAAAAAAAGTCAATTTCCCGTTAACATTTAAGCATTGTTGATGGCGTTCTTAAACACCACAGCCATATCACCCTGCAGCCCAAGACCGGTTACTCACTGAAGCTAAGCAGGGCTGAGCCTGGTCAGTACCTGGATGGGAGACCACTAGGGAACAGTAGGTTGCTGTTAGAAGTGGTGTTACTGAGGCCAGCAGGGGGCGCTCAACCTGGGGTCTGTGTGAGTCCTAATGCCCCAGTAAAAGTGAAGGGGACACTTCATTGCAATGTTGTTTGATGCCTAATATGCAGTGGGTGCCATCTTTCAGATGAGACGTTAAACCGAGGTCCTGATTCTCTGTGGTCATTAAAAATCCCATGGCACTTCTTGTGAAAGAGTAAGGGTGTAGACCCGGTGTCCTGGCCAAAGTCCCTCTATCGGCCCTTATGATCATGGCCTCCCAATCATCCCCTTCCACTGAGTTGGCTCTATCATTGTCTCTCCACTCCACCAATAGCTGGTGTGTGGTGAGCACACTGGCGCCGTTGTCCTGTGGCTGCCATCGCATCATCCAGGTGGATGCTGTACACCGGTGGTGGTGTGGAGAGACCCCCCCACATGATTGTGAAGTGCTTTGGGTGTATGGCCATACACAATAAATGCGCTATATAAATACACATTACATTACATGATTTACCATTGTGTTCACGTGCTCAACAGAAATGACTGTGATTGGCCGAGAAGTTCATCAGGTGACCCACCACTGTTTACCAAGTGCAAACACAAACGAGCGATCCTCTGATAAATCGACTTTAAAACGCTCCATCGTCCATCTATCTGTGTTTGCAATCTGTGAAGAGCGGTGAACTGATTACCTTCACGGCCAATCACAGTCATGTCTGTTATGCACTGGTGAACAAAGGCAAATCAGCGCTGTTTATGAACGCGATCAGCTGCGCTTAAATGTTAGCAGGAAATGGACCTTTTAAAACTTCAGTATCGGGACAACACTGCTACAGACAAAACAAGGATGTGCTACAGACTGCATTGTTTTATTGCTCACTGGGTTACATAGGCTGAAGCAGGGAAGCATCCCCATCGTGTTTACCTGCTGCCATGAACTGAAACCTAGGAGGACACTTAAGCGTATTACTCTTAAAGAGATTGTGATGTTGTTTGATGCCTAATATGCTTTTAATTGTTTAAATCAAACTCAACTGAATGATTTTAAAGTGATGTTTACACAATATCTGCACTTTGAAATTGTGGCAACAGCTGGAGGTTTGTAGTCCATAGCATGTTGTTGCAATGTTTACAGTGCTGATGCCACAAGCCCAAAGACATGCGCTATAGGTGAATTGTGTAGCTAAATTATCCGTAGTGTATATGTGTGATTGAAAGTGTATGGGTGTTTTGGGCATCCAGGGTATAGGCATCTGCTACGTAAAACATAAGCTGGATAAGTTGGCGGTTCATTTCGGCGACCCCTAAATAATAAAGGGACTAAACTGAAAAGAAACTGAATGAATGAATACTTACAAGAACATCTAGATTTTCAGTTATTAAATTGCCATTGAATTTACTAATGCATATTAAGCAATAACTCTGATTTTACGTGTAACCCCGCCGGTCCTACACCACAAAACCCACTCCGAGCTGGTATCGAACCGACGACCTTCTGCATGAGAGTCGGGTGCTCTACCAAGGAGGCTAAGAGCACCTTTAGAGCACCTTTAGAGGTCAGAGGAGTGAGGTTTACCTGCACAGAACTCACTAGCTGGCCTCCATTACACTCACCCCCTAAACCTCACTCTTATCCGGATCACGGCATCAATGTAACCCCACCAGTCCTACAACACCCAACCCCCTCCGAGCTGGGATCGAACCGGCGACCTTCCGCATGGGTGTCGATTGCTCTAACAAGGAGGCTAGAGTCCATGGCCTCTAGCATCTGTCGCCAGAGCACCTTTAGAGGTCAGAGGAGTGAGGTTTACCTGCACAGCACTCACTAGCTGGCCTCCGTTACACACGCAATACATTGTAAATCAAGGCACATGAAGAAACTGACATGTGGAACACAATGCTAGCTGGGAAACAACAGGCCGGCCTATTTATGACTCTACGCCTAAGGTGTGGTGCAGTGTTGAGCTACACGAGGAGAATAGAAATGAAGCCTTTACCTGATATTTGTCTCTTTAAAGTCTGATGTTTGAGACGCTCAGTGTCAAACTGAGACTCTGCCATCTCTAAACTTGACTCCTGAACTTTGAGCTCCTGCTCCTTCTCCATTTGAGTTTGAGTGATTGATTCTGCCTCCCTCTATTCAAACACAAAAGCTACATTATTTGTTTTAATTATCTAAACAATGGCCACCTTAAATTAAGAGTTTATTCATAAGAATGTGATTCTCTGCTACTGTAAGCTGTTGAAGTTCAGCCTGGTAGTTAGTTTCCATTTGTTTTCCGTCTTCCTCTGTGCTGGTCAGTTCATTTGTAAGACCCTCTATCACTGAATTCAATAATGTATGGTCCTGGAGTTTCTTCTCCTACAAAAACAACATCATGCATTAGAAGGATACAGTGATGTGATGTACTGCCAGCTCTTCTGTGCATCTGTCAGACCTCCTTGAGAAGCTCTTCATATCTCTTCTGTGTTTGTTCGATTGCCGTATTCATCTCTTTTACATGCTGCTCATGTTCCTCTTTAAGAGTTTTCAAAGATTGACGTATTTTCTCTCTTTCAGCTTCAAATTCTGGCCTGGGTACAAAAAATGCATGTGATAATGACCATGAAGAGAAAGATTTGAAGGGGACTGATGTAATGTATAGAGTTCACTTGGTCAAACAGATTAATGGCCGTCTTTATTTTAAATTGCAGATCATGCTGAACAGAAATTAAAACCTTTTAAAACATTGTTTAAATGCATTCGTTTTGGTAAATTAGTGTTACGATCAATGAATTAAAAATATAAATGTAAATAAATCAATTTACAAATGAACCTATAACATTTCAACTTAATTGTTGTTTGTAGAATAGATGTTTATTTACATTTCTGTTTTTAAATTAAATAAAAATATAAAATTTTCACAGTATGGCAGCATTTTGCATAATTTAGTAAACAGTATAATTTAATAACTTTTTATCTTGAAACAATTTAGACTTTAAAATATAAAAATAATAAAAACTATATGATCAATTAGTCCTGACAGCATGTTTTAGGTCATTGTAACCTATTAAACTAAGTTAATCATGTTCTAACTTAATTTTATAAGTTACACAAGCTGTTTTAAATCAGTTTAACATTATATAAGTTTAATTGACAGTTAAATTGATTCAGATGAAAAAATGTAAGGCAACTAGGATTTTTTTAAACTTCAGTAATTATTGAATATAAAATGCTTCCTGTTTTTAGGCAATATATTGAATATACTGTAAACAAAGCATCCGTTGGTTTTGCAATTTATAAAGTGCCAGTTTATGAGGTTTCTACGGTGGCTGAGAGAGCTTAACGTGCTGTTACAGAACACATGCAATTACAACAAATGCCAGCAAATTGATCTTCATCAGTTTGACAGCACTAATTCTGCAAATTGGCACAATGCAAACAAATAAAAAACCAAAAACAAGCTGCATTTTCTAACAACGCAAGCATTTAACAAAAACACACTACTTTTTTCTCACAACACAAAAGAAATGTTTCAAGAAGGCCCTAAAACGTGACTGACCCGGCTATTTAAGTTATTGTTATTTAGGCTAATAAATACTAAAGACACGGGAATAAGGATATTGAAATATACAAACAAAAAACTCACCTTTCAAATATCATCTACAACTTCATTGAGCAATAGTCACGGCACAGAGACATCTGTCACGTTTTTGGGTCTCTTTGAAGCATTTCTGTTGTGTTCCGTTCTTTTTGCAAGTGTTGTAAGAACATGCACTGGTTTTATTAATGTTTGTGTTGTGGAAAATGCAGCACGTTTTTTTATGAGTTTGCATTGTAAGAATTTGCAGCAGCACGTGCTGTCAAACATATGAAGATCTTTTTGTAATTTGCTGATGTTTTTGTAATTGCATGTGTTCTTAAATTGCAGCACATTAAGCTTTTTCAACCACTGTAGGTTTAAAATTTAAAGGTATGGTTCACTCAAAAATGAAAATTCTGTCATTATTTTTCTCACCTTATTGTTCCAAACTTGTTTGTATTTTTTATGTATTTTTTATTTTTATTTTCTTGTATTCCTACAGTTTCACACAAAAGAAGATATTTTGGAAAATCTTGGAAACCGATTTCAACCTCCATATTATATTTTAGTTTTTTAGTTTTCAACATTCTTTATCTTTATTTAATTATCTTTAGTTTGGAACCATGTGAGGGTGAGTAAATGGTAAATACATTTTCATGTTTTTTTTTTTTAATTCTCACATATATATATATATATATATATATATATATATATATATATATATATATATATATATATATATATATATATATATATATATATATATACACACACACACACACACACCTGAGCTAGTGAATCAAGCTCTTACAAGGCCAGAGGTGCTCAACCCAATTCCTGGAGATCTACCTTCATGCAAAGTTCAGCTCCAACCCTGATCAAACACACATGAACCAATTAATTAGGACCTAAACAGCACTGGATAATTACAGGTAGGTGTGTTTGATATAGGTTGCGACTGAAATCTGCAGGAAGGTAGATCTCCAGGAACAGGGTTTGTCACCCCTGTACTAAGCTTAAACATCCATGCAGGTGTTTTGATGCAAGTTGGAGCTAAAATCTACAGGACTCCGGCCCTCCAGGACCTAGTTTGGGCACTCCTGTTCTAAACTATAAGCTAGAATATAATAAAATAATGATAAACTGACCTGCTTATGTTGTGTTTGGCCAATTGACCTTCCAGTTCCAACGTGGACTTTCTGAACACATCTGCACTGATTCTGAGAGAAAAGCATACAAAAGGTTGTAAAGCACTATAGTAAAACAAAGCCACAAGACAACAGACAGACAGAGCCATACATGTTGGCATCATGAAGCTGTCCTGTCTCTCTTTTAATGTTTTTGATTGCATATTTAAGTTTTGCAATGGATATAATGTCTTCGTCCTGTATCTGTTTGCTCTCCTCTAACCTGGAACAAACGTACAAAACAATTATTTTAAAAAGAGAGAATTTTGAAGTTAGTAATGGTGATAAAGCAGAGAAGAAATTGTACTGAAGTGACGGATGTACCGTTTGGACAGACTGTTTTGTTCAGCGATCATGTCATCTTCCTCTCTGCTCTGAGCACTGAAGATGTCTGACAGTTTAGCGCACTGCTCTGATAAAGCACTTTTCACTTTCTGCTCTTCCCCCAGCTCATTCTCAATCTGAGGAGAAATCACAGCCTCTTACAGTGTTAGGTAACGCTTTCAGAACTGACTTATATTTCACCCTGCTCTATAGGGGATAGATGGGCAATCCAAATCATTCAAGACAAATCATTGAAATTTAAAATCCTGTCTTATAGGCACAATATAGAAGATGTTTTTCATAAAAAACATCAAAAATACAAAAAACTGTGTTCTATATTGATTTATGTTTATTCATTCATTGTCCTTTAGATTAGTTCCTTATCACAGCAGAATGAACCATACTGTTTCGGCATATGTTTTACACAGTGGATGCCCTTCTAGCCGGAACCTAGTACTTGGAAAGATTTATGTTTGCTCAAAGCCAAACAAATAATGATTACATGAACCATGCCCTTTGTTGATTTTTAGTTTTATAGAAAAAAGGGAAACACAACATTTAATATGTTGTGTGTTTTATTAGACTGCACAGAGCAGCATTAGAACAGAACCCCTAAATGTATTTAGCATGATAAAACAGCTGCTGCTTCTCAGTGGAAGAACTGGAAGAGGAGGACTGTGGCATAAAAGGTCTGCTGCTTTCTTGCTGCATTGCTCTTGTCTCTCATCAGCATTTGCTTCAGTGTCTTATTTCAATTTAATATATTTTAGGCCCAATCCCAATTTTACCCCGTTAGCCCTTCCCCTTACCTCTTGTTTTGCGTGTTCATGTGAAGAGCTAGGGGAGTCCCAATTCTCTTTAGCTTGAATGCGTAGGGCTAAGGGGAAGGGCTAGAATCCAAGGGGTACAAAAATTTTCCAAAATACACCATCTACAGTGGCAGCATGGCTGCACACGGAAGTCAGGAGATACACAAATTAGTATTTTTTGTCATTATTATGAATTTTTACAACAAACAAGCATATGTGTGAATACATTCATAACCACGTTTGTGTTTTACCGTCATGCTTTAAAAGAAAAATCGCTAAAATAAAAACCTCTAAATTTGGCTGTCCATAATACCTAATAATAACTCCTGTAACTACAGCAGCCGCCATCGTTGATCTCATATTAAGCAAGAGATCGCAACGACATATGCTGATGTGTGCATGTTATAGTGATGTGCCGTTTCTTACAAAATAAAATTTGAAGCCCTTCCCCTTTACACTCTGTTTCAAGGGAGAAGGGAAGGGGTACAAAAATAGTATTGAGATTGGGTCTTAGGGCTCACACTGAATGTGTCCTTGCTTCTAAAAATCGGTTTGGAATGGTTAAAAAAGGCACATCATAAAGCACAAGGGTATCCAGACAGCCACTGAGCACCTGTAAACAAAAACTTGCAACGCTTGCCCTACCTCTGAGCTCTTCTTATTGGTCCACTGCTATGGAACTGAGCAATGCTGCATTGTGTTTGGATGTTATAGATCTATTTACTTGACACAGCATCTAAAAAATGTGTCCCTCACATGCGCAGCACTTCAAAAAACAGCAGACAAAAGTGGAACAGTCACACACGCCTATCAAGCACGTGTTTGCATTGAAAAACAATAAAAAAGTAGCACATTAGAAAGTAAACACACCTTCTGTGTGAACAACCCCTGCTTCATACTTCTTTGATAATACGTTTTTTAATAATTAGCTCATGAACATGATTTCTGCTGTCCTGTAGTAGGATGTATTGAAGATCGTGTCGATATCATTAAAACATGCCTTTGTTTGTGGTGAATACTCACCCTAAGCGAGTTTGCATGTTCTCCCCTATGACTTTGTGGGTTTCCTTTGGGTGCGCTGGTTTCCAATCAGCTAAATTGACTGTAGTGTGTGATTGGGGGAGAGTGTGGGTGTTTCCCAGCACTGAGGGTTATACTCTCAGGGCTAGGTTGCACCAGGTAAAATATATATCCCAGATTAATTGGTGATTCATTCTATGAGGTGACCCCTGATAAAGCAGGGAATAAGCTGAAGGAAATTTAGTGAGTAATTAACAATAATAAGGTAGCCACTTCTTGTAGCTTGTACTACTAGTATACTAATCTAGATAGATAGATGGGTGGACAGATAGCTGGGTGTTCATACATCCAGACCAGCCGCACATCTATTGACTGCCTGAACTCTAGAACATCTAAGGGCCGTCCAGCACTCAGCTGTATTAAAGGTCATCTATGCACATTGTGTCTTTGAAGGAAAGCATTTTAAAAGCTCAATGTGACGCTGCTCAGCGGGACCAGTCAGAGGCAGGAAATCGATGCTTCAGATCTGACATCTAAAGACGGAGATTTGAGGGTTTTGATCCTTTCCGAAAAGAGTGTATTAAACAGCCATTCATTTAATATCAGGAGTTTCACAATCGCATAGACTTACCTTTTCAATCTGCTCCTGTATGGCCTGAACTTTCTGTTCAAATGCTTCTGCCAATTCAAGCAGTTCTCGCTCATGAAACTCCCTGTTGATTATGAATAACAAAGCAGATTTCTTTTGACCAAGGGTGAAGGAAACCGAAGAAGACAAATGTTTTTGAAGTGCTTTATAGAGGTTACTTTTGACATTCAAGTTCCTCTGTTTTGCCAATCGCTTTATGAAGTCTTTCTTGGCAGTGAACTTTAGATGCGGTCAGCTTGGCGATGTTTTTCTCCAGTTGGGAGATGTGCTGAAAAGAATGCACACCATGCAAATCATCCCATATCAACATTATTTTCAGTTTGGTTTGACATTTTGCAGTGTGTGTAGATGCTTACGTTTTCACATTGTGTCACTGTGTCCTCCTTGTCTTGGAGCTCTGATGTAATGCTGTCTGTTTCCCTCCGTGTTTCTGCATTGATTTTTCTTTGTTCTTTTATCTTAAGAACAATTTGCTCTAGCTAAAGAGGGAAAATGTGAATTTAACAACAGTCTTGATGTGAAAATCTACCTTTAAAAACAAACAAGATAAAACACATATGCTCAGATTACCTCCTTTTGCACAGAGTGTTTGCTTTCTGTAAATATTTTGTTTCTCTGAATCCTGTTTTCTTTCAGGATCTGTTGAGCCATTTCCACCTGGGCGATTTTGTCCTTTAATGACTGGATCTCATTCTGTTTTTCTTTGAGCAGCATCTGTGTATCAACTTTCTTCGACAGCATCTGGTTCAGCTGATCAACAGCATCTTCATAGTTTCTTGTAATGTTTTCTCTCCCCTGACTGAAATATAACAGACATAGGTTTCATTGTATCACTTGTCATGTTATAAAATATGCTGATGATTTTGTTTCCTCCATGATCAGGATTTGGGCCATGGCCCTGTTGTGGAAGAATTTACTTCCTGGTGTGATAGATTTTCTATGAAAGCCCGTTGCCACCACTGAATAAAAAATAAATAAATGAATAAATACAATGTAAAAAAAAAGTTATAAAGTCAGTATTGTCAGCTCAGAATTCTGACTTAACTCGGAATTCTGACTTACATGGAATTCTGACTTTTTAACTCGGAATTCTGACTTATTAACTTGGAATTCTGAATTTATAACTTTAAATTCTGACTTTATAACTCAGAATTCTGACTTTATAACCCGGAATTTCTGACTAAATAACTCAGAATTCAGACTTAATAATTGTAAAAAAATGTATTATTATATATTTTTTTTTTCAGTGGGGGGGGAACAGGCTACCATTCTTTTCTCTCCAGTTGAATGCAAATAAAACAAAAGACATAGTGATAGATTACAGGAAGGCTTCTCCTACCCCCAGCATAACAAATATTAAAGGTTTTGACATTGAATTTGTTGACAAACATAACTATCTGGGGGTCATTATTGACAATATGTTGACATTTCAACCTAACACCCAGGCTGTCTATAAAAAAAAGTTCAACAAAGACAGTTTTTTCCTGAGGACACCTATCGTTTCAGGTTTGTACCTCTATGATGACAGTTTTATAAAAAATTATTGAATCCGTTTTATCTTTCTGAGTTGTAGCTTGGTACGGTAATCTGAGTTTGTTAAATAAGAACAGGTTGAGTAGCCTTGTGAAGGTGGCAGGCAAGATTATAGGTTTTAACCAAACTGGTCCAAAATATGGTAATATTAAATATGTTTTAAAGAGAGCTCAGGGTATCCTATGTACCCTGGAAATCTCATTGTACTATGTGTTTTAACTGCTGCCATCAGATTTTAGAGTTCCTATTTGCAGGACAAATAAAATGTGAAATTCTTCTATAATGGTGGCCATTAGCTCATTAAATAAGTCCAGCGGGGAGGGAGATGCACCTAAAAATGATGTATTGTATGTTGTGTGGTAATATCTTGTTAATGTGTACATGGAACTAAAATAAAATTAAAATAAAGTTTAATTTGAGTCATTTGTTTCAGAATTTGTATTCACAGATGTGTTCTTTGCACTCAAAACAAGTATTTTGAAACCAATTTCTCCAACATTTCACACTGGTTTAAAGAAAATAATAATCTCCCTACCTGCGCTGGATACACACATGAAAAAAGAAATACATTTACATTTAGTCATTTAGCAGACGCTTTTATCCAAAGCGACTTACAAATGAGGACAAGGAAGCAATTTACACAACCACGAGCAACAATGAATAAGTGCTATAAGCAAGTTTCAGGTCTGTAAAGTCTAAGAAGGGAAGTATTAGTAGTATTAGTATTTTTTTTTATAATTTATTTATTTTATTTTTTATTTTTTTTTTTGTACAGTTAGTGTGATATTCAGAGAGGCAATTACAGATTAGGAAGTGTAGTGGAGACTAAATAGTTGAGTTTTTAGTCGTTTCTTGAAAGTAGCGATACTATACTAAAATAAACTATAAATACTATAGCAATTCGTAGAAAATTCTGTAGTGTTTGAATTAATATGTTGTGGTAATACAACTGCTATTATAATATAAATGACCACATTTTTTTCTCAACTACATGGCAGACAGTACAATATATTTTACTGTACTAAAAATCTAAGTTTACAAAAGTATTTATTCATGTTTATCAGTTGATTATTGCTAATAATACACTACAGTATGCTAGTTTTAAAATTAATACTTAATTTTAACATAAATATTAGGCTAAAATATATACAGCACTATCATCTTATAATAAAGTGTGTTAAAAAAAACTCTTGTATTTACCATACAGTAAATTATTATTATTTTTTTCATGTGGGTATCTTTAGAGATCGAAAGAAAAAATGTATATGATGAGCACCGTAATAGTACAAATAGCAAGATGAACTACATTTCCCATGATCCTCGTGGTTTAAATTGTTTGAATACTCACAGGAGTGCAGCATTTTCTTGTTCAATGAGTTGTTGCTTATCCTCCATGGATTGTATGTCGTCCACAGCAGCTTTCAGCTCAGACCGAAGTCGATTTAACGCCGTAGCATTGCTTTCTCTAGCTGCAGTGACACAAACTGAAAAAGACAACAACAAACAAACAAACAAACAACTAAAAGCTTCCCAAACAGTTTACACTACTCCTCCATCCATCGTGTTTCAGGTGAGTTTCTGACTGAGCTCTGGCCAACATTTAATTAGGACTACATTTAAGGGATTTATCATATTTCAAGGGATTTGTGTATGACCTGCTATTTCACGTTTGATGTCATCTTGTAAATTCACTTTGCGATGTCGAAGCTTGCTTGTCTCAATAGTTTCAACTTCAAGTCTCTCACGGGCTGCTTTCCTAGCCGATTCCTAGAATTGGATTGGAAACATTTTTATTTAATTGGAAATACGTTTTTACAACTAACAAGGTGAAGAGTATGTTGTTTAAATATTTATGATATTGTGGCAAATATAAATTCCATCTAATATTTTAATTTCATTATTGGTAGCATGTTAAGGACATGATTTAAGAAAACAATAACGTTATGTTATTTGACTCGTTATGTTATTTGCATGCTATATTGCTATATAGCATGACAAGGCCTGCTTGATATTCATGTCATTGTTTTGCAAACAAGTGCAATAAAAAGCATGAATCAGATTTACATGATTAAGTATGAGTTAATGATAAATGAGCTCATTTAAATATATGTAAATGATATTAATTTAGTAAATACCAGCTCTTTAATGGCTTCAGCTGTCTCTGTCAGGTGATGACTCGCTTCTTGACTAAACGAAACCCCTTCTTCTCTTAGGCGTTTATCTGTAAAATGTCGTTAAATCACAAGTAGCTACAACAAATCAATTCCTAAAATGTTTATTATGACGTAATGTTAACATTTTACATTTCACAAAATGAAATATTGTGATTTGAAGCGATCTACGTTTTCACCGCTAGTTGGCGATTAGGGCTACTTTTGCCACACCAAAGTATCTTACCTAACTCGCTCAAATGTTCTAAAACAATCCTTACAGCTGGGAAGTCCGGCACCAAACAAGTCGCCATATCGTTAAATTATTATTTTATCATCAATCGGTGCAACAGACGACGTATCCGACACAACAGTTTGACTCCCAGTTCATCTGTGTACTGAACATGTTGGCATGACGACCGTCACAGCAAGTACCCAGTATATAATCTGCTTTTTCCTCACTTCATTTTGCAATTAGCAAAATCACAGCTACAGAGTATGGAAATAAACACATATTGTAAAAATAGTGAAGTCTTACTCTGAAGTCTTGTCTGTCTTTTTTATCTCTACCTTCCTATCATATATACTCTGTTTATTTTAAAAATAAAAGCCTATTCACTTTAATCTTATTCAGTAGTATTAGTATAGTAGCCCATTCTGTTTCAATACAAGGAACTTTGGCCACTTTGTATTTTATAAAAGTTATGGTATGTGTAATAGTGAAATTGAAATGGTAGGGGAGAGCGGTGGGCAAAGTAACACTTTTGGTTTTGGCCAAATAATGAAAAAAGTAATGGGCATAGACCATATTTTTTAACAGCAACGCACAAGCTTCTCCTACAAATAAGCACTGCAAGTATCACCGCTGGATCTATGGTTTCTGTGCAGTATTTCCAAAAGGGCCAGGTGTAAAAATGTTACTATTTATCCCACCAGTGGGGCAAGTTGTATGAGGGGGTTAGTTGTAACACATGCTTAAAAAGGCAGATTTCACACACTTCATTTAAATTCAGATTACTTTAAATAGTGTATTTCCTCAGTAGCTATTTCTTTTAATCTACATAGCACATCATATTTATGTATTTATCTATTGGATAAACACATTTGGATTTATTTGCATTATTATACAATGCATTTATTTGCATTATTAGCAATAAAACAGTTTTTTTTCTATTAAAAATATTTCCATTTAAAACATTTTATTTAAAAAGTTCCCAACATTACACTCAAAATCCTGCAATTATTTTGTTAGTTTAATTGGTGTCCAACAGTCTGCCCACGCTCCCCTATACAGCTTGTTGTTGTATGTAAAGCATCTGCATTAAACCTAAAAGTTAACCATGCTTAAATAAATTAATAAATAATGGTAATCACAAATTTATTAGGTTTTGTTACCCATATTTTATTTTCCCTGTATTAAAATTGTGCTTATAATCAGTCTGCTAAAAGAATCATGGTACAGTTATTATGGCTTTTCATAAAGGGAACTGTAACTAATATCCTTAATATCCTTGTTTCAATGCAATCTCGATAACTATTTTCCATTTTGAACGATAGCGATATGTATTTTGATATGTTGTTAATGCTTCCAGATTTAAAAGAGTACCCTAACAATTACTAAAGCCACAAAATTAGAGGGTCCATGATTAAATGACCAATAAATTTTCGTTTTTTGGCCGATAAATTTTCGGTGGCCGAAAACTCGGTACATCTCTAATACAGACACACTTTTAGATTCATTTTTGCACGTTTCTGCTGTGTGATTGGCTCTCAGATTAAAGTCCAGAGCTTATCATTGTTATTGACAAATTGTATTGCGGTTCAATACAATATCGTTTATCGGCCCAACCCGTAATCAATATGTAGTGGCATAGACCGCATGATAAGACCTCATTGCAGACACATCTATCTATCTATCTATCTATCTATCTATCTATCTATCTATCTATCTATCTATCTATCTATCTATCTATCTATCTATCTATCTATCTATCTATCTATCTATCTATCTATCTATCTATCTATCTATCTATCTATCTATCTATCTATCTATCTATCTATCTATCTATCTATCTATCTATCTATCTATCTATCTATCTATCTATCTATCTATCTATCTATCTATCTATCTATCTATCTATCTATCTATCTATCTATCTATCTATCTATCTATCTATCTATCTATCTATCTATCTATCTATCTATCTATCTATCTATCTATCTATCTATCTATCTATCTATCTATCTATCTATCTATCTATCTATCTATCTATCTATCTATCTATCTATCTATCTATCTATCTATCTATCTGAGTACTGTATCTGACGGACTATGTCTGAGTATCCATCCATCCATCCATCCATCCCTCCAGTTTTCATTATATTTTATTTTGCAATATGTAATAATAACTTAAAAATTGAGGCAACCTTAGTTTGAACAACATACTATTGCTGCAATTGCAAGATCCATCTAGTTCCTTGCTTCAAACATCCAAAACGTAGACTATTCTATTGTCTAAACAGGTTACTATGGTGCATTGTGTTATTATAGGCAGTTTTTCCAATATTTGAGCTGGTCAGGCTATAAGACAAGGTTTTGTCATTGATATTGTTTTTAATATCTTGTATTACTGGAAGCGCTTTGATAGTTCACAGAAGCAGCTGAAGCAGTCCTTTTCTTCGAGGGCTCGTGTAAACCCGATACCCTTTTGTAATCTTCAGAGACAGTGAAAGGAGTCGAGGTAGTTTGATGTGGTCGAGCATCTCTCTGAGTGTTTGTCCTTTTAAAAATGTCCATTAGAGAGCACTGTTGATCCTTGTAAAACGGCAGACAGTAGCCCGCCATCCCTGACTCCAAATGCAATTAGAATGGGCTGGAACTGCAGTGTTGATATTGATTTCCTTACCGCAGCATCTAGAAAATATTGTGTGTATTTTTTTATTTTATTTCTTTTTTACAATATATGGAGTTTCTGTCTGCTTGCACTGCTGTGGGTACTTGCAGGTTCAGTTTGTGAGTTCATACACTTGGGCTAGAATACCGCCAGTCTATTAAAGCACACAGCTGCTTTGATAATTGATTTTCTCAAGGTAATATTTGTGTTAGGGCTGAGATGACAATCCACAGGCTGGCACCATCATAGCTATATAGAGAAAAGGTGATATTCAAAAACATATTCTGAATTATGCCACATGTTTAAAATAATATCTGAAAATTAGTGTATTATAATGATTTACAAATTTCCTCCTTCAGAGATGAGACCTTTTATCAACGTTTACATTTTGAATAAGTGGCAAAATGAGTGGGATGCATTAAGATTTCAGGTTGGATTTCATACAATTTATTTTCCAAACAGAATTTTACGACTAGATTTGATCAAGTGATTTTTACCAGATGTCGTATGGGACACACAAGATTAACCCATGCCTTTTTGCTTTAAGCTGAAGATCCCATTTAGTGTTTGTTCTGCACAACTCCGCTTACTGTAAAACACATATTACTGGACTGTCCTGCTTTGATTAGTTCCAGAAGACTTTTTTTAAATAAATGAACTCTTTTAAAGGACATTTTTAACAAAGTGACACCAGGAAAAATTGTATAATTTTTATCATGTGTTTACACTAAAAATCCTATTTAATTTAAGCAAAAATTAGTTTGTTGTTTTTAATTCATTTTCATTCATTCATTCATTTTCTTGTCGGCTTAGTCCCTTTATTAATCCGGGGTCGCCATAGCGGAATGAACCACCAACTTATCCAGCACATTTTTACGCAGCAGATACCCTTTCAGCTGCAACCCATCTCTGGGAAATTGTTTTTAATTGTATATTTATTATCGAAATGTTCATGCCATGAAAATAGCATTGATTGCAGACATGGCATTAAGTAAAAAAAATACATTATACTGATTAACATATTTAAATATGTGGGCTTCACAGCAAGAAGGTTGCTGGTTCGAGCCTCGGATTAGTCAGTTGGTATTTCTATGTGGAGTTTGCATGTTTTCCCTTTGTTTGCGTGGGTTTCCTCTGGGTGTTCCGGTTTCCCCCACAGTCCAAAGACATGCACTGTAGGTGAATTGGGTAAGCTAAATTGTCCATAGTGTATGTGCGTGAGAGTGTTTGGATGTTTCCCAGTGATGGGTTGCAGCTGGAAGGGCATCCTCTGCTTAAAACTTACGCTGGATAATTAAGTTGGCGGTTCATTCCACTGTGACAACCCCAGATTAATAAAGAGACTAAGCAGAAAAGAAAATGAATAAATGAAAAATAAGAAACACTGGTAATGAATTAGAATAAGGGTTTAACTGTATATCTGCATCAAAGACGAAAGTGATTTTTTAAGCATTGGAACTATAAACAATTTGTGTGTGCGTGCGTGCGTGCGTGTGTGTGCGTGCATTTTAAGACTAAATATAAGGGTCATTGCAGTACCGAAATGATAATCTTTATGCTTTGCTTCTTTCAGACCACTAGGTTTTACTTCTCTCTAAAAATTTATAAATCTAACTTAATATATTTAAATAATTTTTTTTATATTTAAATAAGTTTTGAACTAGTATTAACTTGGTATTAAGTATTAACCTATGTAATTTGCTAAATGCATGTCATAAAAAATGGTTTTACATAAATACTGCACTGAATAATGATAAACTGTCAGCCATATTTTTGCATTTTCGTTCTAACTTCATAATATACACTTTTTCTGGATTTTAATATACTTTCAGTGCATATAAAAATCACTTTTGTGGATTTCATTTGATGCAAAAACCAAATGGGACGAAAAGGCAAAGTATGTAATTTTGCCACTAAGTTGACCACAAAAAAAGACTCATTGCAGAGAGTTATCGTCAACATTAGTCCCACAGGACTCCTACAGAAATCATGTTCATGTATGAGCTAAAGTATTCTACACTTATTATCATGGTAGTATGAAGCAGATTAAAGCTGGAAGCCATTAAAGCGAAACGAGATCAGCATTGCTGATAAGAGACAAGCATGAGCTGAGCTTTTATTATGCCACATTTTTTTTCCATTTTTTTCTCTCACACTCATATGGAGAAGAAGCAGTGTTGTTGTTTTATACCTAATGCATTTTTCAGGGTTCTGTTGTAATGTTGATTGGTGTCATCTAATAAAACACACAACATATTAAATTGCCATGTGTGTATAATGTTGTAAGTATGGCGACACAGTTTGTGTCACTAGTTAAATTTGCCTAATTCTCAAGATTCTTTCAAATGGTTAGGGATAATGTAACAAACAAACTAAATATATAAGACTCTTCTTATTAGTTGTTGGTGTGGTTTTTATATATGTAATAGTTTTTATTTTAATTTTTACAGAATTCACTTGAGACAAAATGAATAATGATAAGAAATGTTTAATTAATTAGCAAAAAGTTTTTTGATTT